ATTGGTGAAATCCCATATCTCTGTATTTAGTACACAGCATTCTTCCTACATTATATGTCCCAGTGGGATCGGAATACAACCACGCCTACTTCCCAAATAGTACAATTTTAAAGTCCACTTGATTCGTTTAGATTATATAATTCAAGAAGTGACAAATATAACAGGATAAAACTTTGCAAGAATAATGTCTGTAGCATAGCCAACTTATGACCAAAAAGGGTTTAAATCCAATAAACGTTGTTTAAGCCTCTAGGTACCGAATATTTAGACGCCGGTACCTATAGTTGACTTTTGGTCGAAAATGTCGGTCAATGTATAAGATATATAGCCCCCATATAACAGTATTGTTAAAAACTACGAAAAGCCCAATAAATCAATAACTTAATTCGCAAGAGACATTATGACCTAGAAATATCGCGGGCTAAATGACATGTAGCGAACTGCGGCCGCAAAGATTTCTTTATCTTTGAAATATTGTTCAATAATAAAGATATGTTGTTTTAACGTGTAACGCTCCATTTTTCTAAGCCTAAATTATCATCTGTCGCTTTCTACTTGATACAAATTCAGATTTTCTCACATTTATTTTAAGGCCAAGTTCGCCTGCAGCGGCGCTAAGTTAGTCCAAGTTCGACTTCAAGTCCGATTTTTTGGTAGATAGCAGGGTGATATGATCCGAATAAGCTAATTCTTTTAAATGTTTGTTGAGATTCCAGAGTATACCACGATTGCTCTTTAACGAGTTGTTTAGCACATCGATAAGAGCCATGAGCCACAATTTTTTGGAAAAAAAAATCGCTCTGCTTCAAAATTTATTGCACAACTTTAACAATTTTTGACGCTAGGTGGCATATATCAAAAACACTATTTGGGCATAGTTTTATTTCAGTAACTTAAATAGGGTATACTTCTTCTGTACTGGCGTAGAAACCGCTTACGCAGTTATAGCCGAGTTAACAACAGCACATCAGTCGTTTATTCTTTTCGAAAGATGGCGCCAATTGGAGATTTCAAGCGTCGAATACTTTCAGAGCTGGAGTTTTTTCGCCCATTCGGATTACATGACCTAGCCAGCGTAGCCTCTGTCTTATAATTCGTTGAACTATGTCAATGCCGTCGTATATCTCATACAGTTTATCGTTCCATCGAATGCGATATTCTCCGTGACCAACTCGCAAAGGAATATACATCTTTTGCAGAATGTTGAAAAAAGTGTCTTATAGAGTTTTGTTTTTGTTCGTCGAGAGAGGACTTTACTTCTCAATTGCCTACTTAGTCTGAAGTAACACCTGTTGGCAAAAGATATCCTGCGCTGATTTTCTGGGCTGAAATTGTTGGTGGTGTATATATTGGTGCCTTAATAGACGAAATTATTTACAACTTCGAAGATATATTTAATTTTTCCCTTGTTCACCACCAGGCCCATTTGCTTCGCTGCCTTATCCATTCGGGAGAAAAAAAAATAATGGCGCGGTTGTTAAGGCCAGTGATATTAATATCATCAGCATGCGCAAGCAGCAGTACACTCTTATAGAAGATTGTACCTTCTCGGTTTTGTTCTGAAGCTCAAATTAGAACCTTATACGCGATGTTGAGGCTTATCCCACTTTACTTCTCAATTGCCTACTTAGTCCGAAGTAGCACCTGTTGGCAAGAGTTATCCTGCGTTGGTTTTCTAGGCTGAAATTGTTGGTGGTGTATATATTGGTGCCTTAATAGACGAAATTGTTTACAACTTCGAAGTTATGATTGTCAACAGTGACGTGGGTGCCTAGTCGCGATTGCGACGACTGTTTGTTTGTTGACAAGAGATATATTTCATTTATCCCTTGTTCACCCCCAGGCCCATTTGCTTCGCTGCCTTATCCATTCGGAAGAAAGAAAAAATAATGGTGCGGTTGTTAAGGCCGATGATATTAATATCATCAGCATGCGCCAGCAGCGACGTTGAGGAGGCTTATCCCACAGTAGTTTTCGCAGATTATAGGGTATCCCTTTCTGCGGATTCGGCAAATCACATTTAAATTCCAATCTCTGGGAATCAGTTACTAGATCACCCCTGCGGGTTCTACAAGGGTATGTTCAGGTTTTTAAACCATCTGTTAGTCACCACATTTTTTAGTAAAATTTTCGAGCATAACTCCTATCGGTTGGTCGACTTGTTAAGCTCCTCATACTCACGCAATTCGGCCTCTCTCTTTTTGTATCTTCAAATGCGTCTGGCTTCTCTTTTCAACGGTATCTATTCGATCGCGCACGTATTGTGTTCGATCGTAAAGTAGCGAGGTAGGCAGTGTGTTTTCTCTCCGCTGCGACACGGCACTCTCCGCCGTACCAGCTGTTCTTTTGCATTTTCCGAAAACTAATAATTTCGGTTGCAGCTGTACATAAGGAGCATGAAATGTTCTCCCACAGTTCTCTTACACCGAGTTGTTGACGAATGCTCTCAGAGAGCAGTAGTGCATGCCGAGTAGAAAATCGTTCGGCTATCTGTTATGATTGCAGCTCCTCGACGTCGAGGAGCGTTTTTTGCTGCATAGAGGCACGTCTAGAACACCGGAGAAGTGTCTTCCGTCTATCACAACATGATTGCTCTAGTTGGTGGTGTTTTGATCCCGAGACAGCCAGGTAGCTTAATGTATTTTCTTATGCTTTTACCTAGTACTACAGGTTACCATATTTCGGACCCCGGCGAAGTCGATCAGCCTCAACCCATTTGGGGATGTTTCCTCGTAGAGGCTGAATTTAGATATCTTCCTTGCCCACTCTAGCGTTAAAGTCGCCAAGGACGATTTTGACATCGCAACGGGGGCAGCTCTCATAGGTGCGCTCCAAGCGCTCATAGAATGCATCTTTGGTCACATCGCCATTCTCTTCCATCAGGGCGTGGGTGCAAATCAGCGATATATTGAAGAACTTCACTTTGATGCGGATTGTGTTCACCCACCAGGGTGAATGAGAGTACTCGGCGATTGAATCTCTCTCCCACCTCGAATGACACACCAATCTTGCGCTCCTTTATATGGACACTGTAGTAAATGCCACAAGGACCTACTCTCTCAGTACTTGTCCCGTCAATCGCATTTCTTCAACTGGTGATGTCAGCCGTTATTTTCACGAGGACGTCAACCAGCTGGGGCCGGACATCCCATGGTCGTCATCGAAAGGGGGGTCTCTCATACGAAAAAGTTCGTGCGTTTTCATTGAAGGCGTTTTTTTTTACGTGGTGGGTTCAAAACCCGTCGCACAAACCTGTGGAATGGATATTTCGCCTTCTCACTTCAGCTTGCCGTCAAACGGATGTTCTTTGTCTGCCCAGAGAATAATTGGTCAAAGACCGGAAGTCGTGAGCTCCTTGAGTCATATGTAAAAGAATCGTTTCTGGCCACTGCCAAGTGTATGGTGATCGGAGAACTTTCCTCACTTGCGTGAACTTCTACACATGACTCCATCCTCCATCCTATATATACACTAAAGAAAAAAAGTATATACGTAGGTTGCCTTTTATATTTCGGGATTTGATAACCCTAGTTTTGCAATCTGGCAGCTCACAACTTTATATAAAGTTTGACCTTTTTATGTTACACATGCTCTTTGCCATACTATACGATCCCTATTTGTGCTGAAAATTTTCGAGCGATTATTTTGTACAACTTTCGGCGTGGATTAACTTAGCAATAGTGCATCGATGAACTCAATTCAGTTTGGATTTTCGCATATGCATCCAAAACTAAAAATCAGTTGACGGTATGGGTGTTTCAAGATGGACCAAATCCATGAAAAGTTGTTCGTGCATGAAGTACTTCCACGCTAATGATTACCTCTTTTTGTAACAATTGGAACAATAAAGTTTGAGTGGTATACAACCATCTGATCATCACATCGACTGACTGCAATAGCTTTTTTGAGTACTCAAAACATTAATTTGATGAGTCCTTGGACCGAAAACTTCTTTTTCCGTGCGTAAAACATAAACTATTAGCTCAACGTTCGGCACCTGAATAGACGGTGAATACGTTCAGGATGCATGTTTTGAATATACCGCGTTCAGAGTGTTAAAAATGCTTCGAAAACTGGTTCAAACATGCAACCGTAATACCGAAATGTACCTATACCAATTCCGTTGCAATCGTCAGGGTGCCAAGGAACACAGGTATAAAATTTTACCCAAGTAGTCACCCAGAATTCTATTTATCTCGTCATCCTGATCGTTTACATATAACGCTATTTCTATTAATTATTTCAAGCAACCGTTAGGTGGTCAAAACTGTTATACTTTTTTGCAACATATTCGAGAGTTTAAATATTAACACCAAAATGAAAGCATTGTACATTGTACATTATTCGAATTTACCCATTAAGCATTGATGTCACTACAATGAGATAACTATATTTTTCAACATATCGCCGCTACGTGACGAGCTATGGAAAACTTCTTTTCTTTACAAAATTTGGCATGGAACATTGTGCAAGGCAACAGTTTAATCTCGGAATAAATTGCCATACAAACTAATCAATAAAAATTAGAATTGAGATTTTTGTTTAACTTTTCAACTTACGGAAATACACATGTGAAGGGAATTATAGCTACGGTGCAGCCAAAAATAATACTTCTTATTGTATTATGCATATACGATATATGATTTTACTATATTCAAGTTATTAAATTTTGTTTTCGCATTCTGCAGACATTTAGAGCTCTGCTGCGTATTGTATTGTGTACGAAGTGTATTTTCATTTATATTATTTTCGTTTGAATCTTCAGGTCACGTTACACACATAGCCCTGTATATTTACATGTCACATCCATTTTAAGCATAAATACATATGAACAAGTTTACCTTAAATATATATGTGTATTCCTGAACAAAGTACAAACCTTGGGAAATTAATGAATGAATTAACTTGAAGATACATTTGTGATTTGTTTTTGCATATTTTCATGTTCTCGTCCCCATAATTAATTCGCCGTGCACTGGTGTGCTTATTATGGGTTTCAGCTTTTCATGCACAAAAGCGCTATGCAACAGATACAGCAGATACCTCGCGTCGGCCTCGGTGCTCCTGGAAGTATGGCCGCCGAAAGTAAACCACACCAATGTCAACAATGCATGAAGAGTTTCTCCAGCAATCATCAATTGGTACAGCACATCCGCGTCCACACCGGAGAAAAACCGTACAAATGCTCATATTGTGATCGTAGATTTAAACAGCTTTCTCACGTGCAGCAACATACGCGATTACACACTGGTGAGTAAAAACAAACACAAGTAAGCAAAGTTTTATTTACAAAATAGATGGAATTAGTTAAAAAACATAATTTTTCACAGTCAATATGTGTGTAGACTCGCTCAATTGAAATCAAAGACACTCGAGAAGTAGTAGAGCTGTGAATATATTTAGATATGATACTAGAGGACCCGTCCATGCTTTACTGTGGCTGATACATAGACTACTATTAATACCAACTATTTGATTTCTATTAGTTAGATTATAACTATTAGTTAATGAAATATAGCATTTTGGGTGAAGCAACTTCTGTTAGTTTAAATGAATCAAAAAACATTTCGTGTGTGATAAAGCATTGGTTTTTTGGGGAAGTTGTATTCTAAAATTCCCAATATTTAGAAACTTTATAATTTTTTAGGAAGGGTCAGTTTGAAATTGTACACCTATGCTTCATCGTTCCCCATAAATTTTCAGCCAAATTCGTTGAGCCGTTCTTGAGTTATAAAAATGCTTACAATTTCTCAGCTTCCTTGACCTTTCCTAACAGAGCCGACCAGAATATAACCTCTGGTTTTCTGAAATTAATTCACAATTAAACTTTTCTAATCAAAGAATTTTATTAAGCACTTTCGTACAAGTCTGGCTTAAGACTAAAACTTAAAAATATGAGCCCTGCCTGATTCGATACACTTAACACAATTTCCACTGCTACTGCACCTGATACTGCTGTTGTTGTTTAGCTACACCTGCTGCTGTTGTTGTCGTTTAGAAAACAGGTAAATCGTTTCTACCGATATTCTAGTACCGAAGAATTTGCCGGTTGATGGGAAAATGCTGACGCGGACTATTCCTACGCTTACTAGCTGGCGCGGAGTAGTTCTAAGAACGTTACAGTAGGCAGACTAGCAGACTAATGTGTTAACTGCCCCACTTCTACATCGAGGGCGTCCGCAGCAGTTTTCATGATCTTGGCTACCGCTGCCTTCTTGTCATTTGTGTCCTTTATGTGTTTACTCATCCCGCGTATCCAAAATACTAATGCTGTACCTATGTATAATGGTAACAACGGTCAGTATCACTTAGGTTTTCAATGTGTCCAAGTTTCCTCAAATTAATTTTGCGCAAATAAGGTAGGCTTAAAATTTCCAAACGGTCGGTCAAGTTAACAAACTGCGTTGAAGGAATTCCAGGTCGGAGCGTTGGCTTCACTTTTTCAATGAAAAAAGTTGTACCATTTATGCAAACTTCTCCCTCGAATGTGACTAAATGAGTGCTGGATATTGTAACCGATGATATTTCTTCTTCCCGAACTTCGACTGTTTGGTCGTTTATGATAATCAAGCCACTGTCAACTTGGATAATCGGATCAAGGTTATTGTAGGTAGTTTTGCATGCCGCGTTATTATTGTTCAATAGTTGTCTCACACATGTGGAATCCGTTTTTATTTTACAGAAACTTGCAGATGGTGCTGCAGTACAGTTTTTAACAGGAATTATTGGCCGCAATCTGCAACAGTATCGGTCTTCAAAAAATAATTTTTTATTACATCATCATTTTGAAAAATGTTTAATTTAGAATTACATTACATTTTTGGTGATCAATATTTTCGAAATTTTATCTGTATACAAATTTATAGGATTTACATTTATTTTACCTAAAACTATGGAATAAATTATGTTGTCCAAATCTGTTACAACTGCCCTATTTCTGGCCATTATTAATTCTAAAAGATCATCAGTGTTAATTTCGGCTTTTTTCCTTATTAGTAATGATTTTGTTAACAGTCTCCGTCAAGTTATCGATTTGCTGTTGTATCTGAGTGTTTATGAAAAATTGATGGCCAGTGGCTTCTATAAGTTCTTGTGTATTAAGTATTAGTTCAATAAAGCCATCGAAATCTTGAGTTCCGGCTATGTATTATATTTTAGCGTCATGTTTATACTTGTTGCTTGTCTATGGTGAATTTTCACCGTGTCAATCAATCGATAAATTTGGTTAATGAAGGCCTGAAGAACTTTAATGATGTGTGATTGGGGAAAACGTGAAATATATTTTCTGTTTGCCGCAAGATGGAGATGTAATTCGTCAAATTCGTTCGATGCTTCAAATGGTCATATTTGTCCCAAACTGCTCTTTCCGTCAATAACCGGTATGTAGTTATGAGTACGCAAAAGTGGTAAAATAACTCTGTGAAACAAAAACAAAATTTATTACCTAAGGTTACTGTTATCAACCTTCCTATTACGTTTACCACTGGAATAAATATCTATATGTAACATTTCCGCAGGATGGGATGGTATCGGAGTCTTTCCTAACTCTGGTTTAGTCGGATGGCATTCGTACTTGGCTTCTTTACAAATTTTGCAGTTTCCAGTAATTCCCTTTAATTTCTTCCGCAAATTTGGAAAATAGTAGTCGTTCAATACCATTAACTACATCAGGATTAACGCATTCACCAATCAATTCTAAAAGATCGCGAAATTTTTTAAATGTAATTTGATGCCTTATCCTTAACTTGAAAATAATTCTTGTATTCTTGGTTGTGATATTTCCTTCTTCAAGAATAATCTGATTTCGAAATGAATTAACAGGGTTTTCCACTTTTGGAATAACTTCTGTTAGAGATTCTTCACTATGCATAGTAACAGATGAGGATTCTTGTTCTATTGCATAAATGTGCTGTCATGACACTGCATCGGCAACAAAATTATCTTGACCGGGTTTATAATGAAATTGAGGTTACTCTTCCGTAAATGCTCGCCAGCGTTTTATTGGTGGTATAATTCTCTTCTGCTGCGATAATGTTCTGGAGATCATGGTTATCAGCCTATTGCCTTGAGATAATACCGCCCCAATAGCGTGTGCTGAAGCGTCAGTTGTTAAGAATAATGGTTTATTGAATCAGGATATAGCAGAAGTACGTCCTTAGAAGACAAAATGATTTTAACTTTTTCGAAAGGTATCAACGCGCCGTTGTCCAACTAATTTTTTGATTGATTTGTTCCCACATGACCACTTTCTTCATAAACTTCCTATAGTAACCAAATAGCCCCAAAACTGCTCGTAATCCACGAAGAGTGCAGGAAATGTTTTTATCCCTTCCTACGAAACAATAAATCCAGGGAATTCTATTTGTTCCCTAAGAAATTTTGATTTTGCCATTAAAACTCGGATATTGGCTTGGTAAAGTTTCGTTAAAATTTTTTCGATGCCTCTGTAATGATCCTCTTCATTGCTTGAGAATATAATTACATCATCGATGTAAACATGACAGCATTTCCCTATTTCATCTCTGAGAACATCATCAATTGCCCGTTCGAAAATTGCGGGCGCATTTTTCCGCCCGTAAGGAAGACTACAAAATTCGTACTTTCCATTGTTTACAGAGAAGGCAGTCTTTACCCTGTCCTGCTCCGCCAATTTAATTTGGTGGAACTCATACTTTAAGTCAGAAGAACTCTGATATCCCCTTGTTAGCTATCTGGAATAGGATACCTGTCCGAAACTGCAGTTTCCTAAAGTCAACTACCATCCTCATCTTCTTCCTCCCGTTCTCGTCTATCCCTTTTTTTATCGACATCCCATATAGGATTATTATACGAAGATCGAAAAAAACGAATTATTCCATCTCGTAGTAAATCTTTAATTTCCTGACTTATAAATTCCGAAGCGGCTATCGAGTAAGGGTATGACTTTGAATAATTCGGTGCGTTATCGACTGTCCTAATGGTGGCTACCACATTAGTGTTAAACGGCAAAGCCTTATCTGAATTTGCGAAAACTTTTTCATGTTTTTCCAATATGAAAGAAATATTTTCCGTATTCCCTGGTTCCTTAGGAGAATTTTCATTTCCAACTCTTACAGTAATAATAAGGTAATTTTTCTTCACCACCTTTATATTGAAGGGTTCCCTTTTGTAAGTCCACTTCTTTCAAGAAGTCAGACCCAATATACCCGTCAAATGTTTCAAGTTACGAAATAGATAAAAAGGAGCAGTTTTTCCGAGCACGTTAATTAACCACCTTTCCTTAATCTCGGCAGTACCGTGGATGGATCTAATTTTGTCGGTCGCCCTGCCAGTGTCGTATCTACAGGCAGGAGCGACCTACGTCTAAAAAATATATTTTTTCCAAAAATTCACATTGTGACTCATCTTATATATAAAAATGAAACGCAAAATGTGTTGCTAAGCACATAACCCAACAACGCCTAGACCAATTTGGCCAATTCTTTTTTTAAGTGTTCGTCATTGCCGAAAAACCCCTAAAACCAGCCCTTTTCTTTCCCCCCTATAAACGAATGAATGTTTGTCTGTTAGTAACGCTAATGCTCGAGAACAGCTGAATCAATCTTGATTAAATTTTCAGAGGTTGTTTGCTGTGGGTCGGGGAAGGTTTAGAAAAAACGTATGCTTTTCGTAAGCAAAAGTCGGAAAATTGCAAAATTCCAAAAAATAACCTTTTTTCATATATAATTTTTTTGTTTTGTTTTTCATTTCAAAAAAAAATTGTTGAAAATTATTCGGTGAAAGCATTATATGTGTTTCACACAAAGTGATCAATTACAGATTGAAATTTGTTACGATGCCACGAATCGGTCGCGCTAATATCAGTTGGAGTTCTTTTTGCCATCAACGTATGGCACACCAAGGCACATGAACGAATACTCCCAGGATGCGACGACATACGTGTGGAATTATGAATTGTGGTCAATCAGCAAGCAAGCGTTACGATGTCACAGCACGACTTTTTAAATAACAGTTACGATGCTTGAAGGACTTTATATTGAAGCAACGTATGTATACATGGTGCGATCAGATGTGGGATGTACTCTGTTGAGTTATACATGGTGGTTACACCAGATCAAATTGATGAAGTCATTTCTGCAGAAATTCCTGATACCGAGAAAGATCCAGTATTCCACTTCGGGTTGTGTGTCTAACAATAAATGCACGAAACACTATCTACGTGGTTTTCTTTCGGAAACCCTAACTGGGAATGATGGATATCCATTCTATCG